CAAATAAGTCACCACAGAAATAGGACCTATGAGGAAATCCTTAAAGAGGAGTTGGAATGCATGGTTTGCTGGGCAGGCAGGATATTTCTGATACAGGAAGAGCCTCTGAGAAAGCCCACAGCCAGGAGTGGGAAATGAGGCTGAGGAGTCATGAACAGGGCTGAGAGAGCATAATATTGGTAAGAAGTGATGGGAAAAGATTAGGTAGACTAGAGTAGGAGACAGATTTGAGCCTGGGCTTTGGAGTGAGACAGCCTGTTTGAAGCCTAGCTCCGTAGTGGTATAATCTTCCCCCTGCCCACCCCCACCACAACCTCTCTGTACGTTGGTCTCTTCATTTCAAAGTTGGAATTTTAATAAACTTACCTTAAGGATTGTGCTAAGAGTTAAGTGAGATGTTCTATGTTCAAGCACTCAGACAAATCAGAACTCCAATATTAGCTGTTGCTGTGCATGAATTGTACACTAAGAATGAGAACACCTGCCTTCCTAACTTCCTTGGGGTCATCTCCGTCAACTTTCTGCTGCCTTTTCAAACCTTTTACACTTAGATTCTAAATTTCTATACAAATAGTGCAGAAAATTTATGTAATAGGCCTAAAAACATTAATTTTAAAGATAGAATTGTTCATAGAGAGGACTATCCTTTGTTTAGCAAGAGACCAAAGCTAACTTACTTTGAAAGTATCAAGAATTGAAAGCTATTACATGCCTGTAATCCCCACACTTTGGGAGGCCAAGGTGACCAGATCACTTGAGACCAGGAGTTTGAGACCAGCTGGCCAACATGGTGAAACCTCGTCTCTACTAAATCTACAAAAATTAGCCATAAATGTTCGTGCATGCCTATAATCCCAGACTACTCCGGAATCTGAGGCATAAGAATTGCTTGAACCCCAGTGGCAAAGGTTGTAGTGAGCAAAGATCACACTACTATATTCCAGCCTGGGTGACAGAGGGAGACTTTGTTTCAAAAAATGAAAAAAATAAAAAATAAAATAGAATTGAAGCCTGAATAAAAAAAGAATGAGATCATGTCCTCTGCAGAAACATGGAACTGGAAACCATCATCCTCAGTAAACTAATGCAGAAACAGAAAAACAAATCCTGCATGTTGTCACTTATAAGTAGGAGCTAAATGATGAGAACTCATGGACACAAAGAAGAGAACAACAGACACTGGGCCTCCCTGAGGGTAGAAGGTAGGAAGAGGAAGAAGATGAACAAAAATTGTTGGCCAGGCACAGTGGCTCATGCCTGTAATCCCAACACTTTGGGAAGCCAAGGTGGGCAGATCACAAGGTCAAGAGTTCAAGACCAGCCTGGCCAACATGGTAAAACCCCTTCTCTGTTAAAAATACAAAAATTAGCTGGGTGTGGTGGCACACATCTGTAATTCCAGCTACTTGGGAGGCTGAGGCAGGAGAATCGCTTGAACCCAGGAGGTGGAGGTTGCAGTGACCCTAGATTACACCACTGCACTCCAGCCTGAGTGACAAAGCAAGACTTCATCTCAGAAAAAAAAAAAAATTATTATTGGGTACTAGGCTTAGTACCTGGGTGACAAATAATCTGTGACACGAGCTTACCTATATAACAAACCTGCACATGTACCCCTGAACCTAAAATAAAAGTTTAAAAAAAAAAAAAAAAAAGAATTGAAGCTGAAAGCCAGAAGAGCAGGGAGAAAGAGGAGCTCAGGGCCAGTGAAACGAGGTGAAAATGTTGTCAGGGAACTCTTTTTTTTTTTTTTTTTTATGGATGAATGTTGATTTACTAGGATTAGTATTAGTATACTCCTACATTGTTAAATAATATACCACTTTTTTTTTTTTAAGAAAGAGAGAAAGAAAGAATAAAAAAAAAGAAAAAGAAAAAAAAAGAATGAAGGAGAGGAAGAAAGAGGAAGAGGAAGAGGGAGAGAACAGGGGTGTTGCTTTATTGCCTGGGCTAGAATGCAGTCTAAAAATGGGTTTGCCTGTAACTGTGTTTAATAATAGAGACATGAAAAAAAATGAGGGAAGAAAATAATGAACAAGCAGCCAACCAATATTTCATTTAAACCTACAAATAGGTGTGATGTGGTACTGATAAGAGTGTATATTTTGTGTACTTAAAGTGGAGAGTTCTATAAATGTTAATTAAGTCTACTTGTTCTGGATCTGAGTTCAAGTCCTGGATATCGATGTTAACTTTCTGTCTCATTGATCTGTCTAATATTGATGTTGAAGTCTCCCACTATTATTGTGTGGGAGTCCAAGTCTCTTGATAAGTCTTATATATCTGGGTATTCCTGTATTGGGTGCGTATATATCTAGGATCTTTAGCTCTTCTTGTTACATTGATCCTTTTATTATGTAATATCCTTCTTTGCTTCTTTTGATCTTTGTTGCTTTAAAGTCTATTTTATCAGCAAAAATTGCAACGCCTGCTTTCTATTTATTTATTTTTGCTCTCCATTTGGTTGGTAAATTTTTCTCCATCCCTTTGAGTATTTGTGTATCCTTGCATGTGAGATGGGTCTGGATGTAGCATACCAATGGGTCTTGGCCTTTTTTGCCTGTCTGTGTCTTTGGATTGGGGGATTTAGTCGATTTAAATTTAGAATTAATAACAATATATGTGAGTTTGATACTGCCATTTAATGTTAGCTGGCTGTTTTGCCCATTAGTTGATGCAAGTTCTTTTTTTTTTTTTTTTTGGGACGGAGTTTCGGTCTTGTTACCCAGGCTGGAGTGCAATGGCGCGATCTCGGCTCACCGCAACCTCCGCCTCCTGGGTTCAGGCAATTCTCCAGCCTCAGCCTCCTGAGTAGCTGGGATTACAGGCACGCGTTACCATGCCCAGCTAATTTTTTGTATTTTTAGTAGAGACGGGGTTTCACCATGTTGACCAGGATGGCCTCGATCTCTTGACCCCATGATCCACCCGCCTTGGCCTCCCAAAGTGCTGGGATTACAGGCTTGAGCCACCGCGACTGGCGATGCAAGTTCTTAATTATGTTGATGTTCTTTATTTTTTGGTATTTTTTAGAAAGGCTGATACTGGTTGTTCCTTTCTATTTGTAGTGGTTCTTTCAGAAGCTCTTGTAAAGCAGGCCTGGTGGTGATGAAATCTCTGAGTGCTTGCTTGTTCACAAAAGATTTTATTTTTCCTTTGCTTATGAAGCTTAGTTTGGCTGGATGCAAAATTCTGGGTTGAAAGTTCTTTTCTTTAAGGATGTTGAATGTTGGCCCCCACTCTCTTCTGTCTTGTAGGGTTTCTACTGAGAGATCTGCTGTGAGTCTGATAGGCTTCCCTTTATGGGTAACCTGACCTTTCTCTCTGGCTGCCCTCAGTATTTTCTCTTTCATTTCAACCCTGGTGAATCTGGCGATTATGTGCCTTGAGGTTGGTCTTCTTGAGGAATATCTTTGTGGTGATCTCTGTAATACCTGGAGTTGAATATTGTCCTGCCTTGCTAGGTTGGGAAAGTTTTCCTGAATAATATCCTGAAGCATATTTTCCAGCTTGGATTGATTCTCTTCGTCACATTCAGGTACACCTATCAAACATAGATTAGGTCTTTTCACATAGTCCCATATTTCTTGGAGACTTTGCTCATTCTTTTTTATCCTTTTTTCTCTAATCTTGTCTTTTTGTTTTATTTCATTAAGTTGGTCTTCGACCTCTGATATCTTTTCTTCTGCTTGATCAATTCGGCTGTTAAAACTTGTGCGTAGTTCGCGAAGTTCTCGTGTTGTTTTTCAGCTCCATTAATTCACTTATATTCCTCTCTAAATTGTGTGTTATTGTTAACATTTCATCAAACCTTTTTTCAAAGTTCTAAGTTTCTTTGCATTGGGTTAGAACAAGTTCTTTTAATTCCCAGAAGTTTCTTATCATCCACTTTGTAAAGCCTGCTTCTGCTAATGGAACACAGTCTTTCTCCATCAGGCCTTGTTCTGTTGCTGATGAGGAACTGTGATCCCCTGTAGAGGGAGACGCGTTCTGATTTTGGGTATTCTCAGCCTTTTTAGGCTGGTTTCTTCCCTTCGTTATAGATTTATCCATCTGTGGTCTTTATAATTACCGTCTTTATAGTTGGGTTTCTGAATAGACGTCCAACTTGTTGATTCCCGGCGCTAAAATCTGAGCAGCCCACTGCGCCGGCCAAAACGGCGGCTTTAAGATTGATGGTGTTTTTCTGACTCTGCACCAAGAACCACCGCACCAAGGCAGCAGCAAAACCGCCTCGCCGGCCACAAGAGTCTCGTTGGCAACCCGTGGGGCTCCTCTACTGGGAATCTCCTGGTGCGTGAGCAACAAAAATTGATCTGAAAGTGTGGCGTCCTCTCGTTCTCAGCGCTTTCACTGGGAGCTACAATCCCGAGCTGCTAGTGGTCAGCCATCTTGGATCTCTCTTGTCAGCCAACAAGCTTATTAAAGGGAACTCTTTAAAGAGAGCTGGTAAGTGGTTAAGAGTGACTGGGTGAGTTTTAAACGCAGAGATGTCCCGTATTTGGTTTTAAGTTATTGGCTGTATAGTATTGTAATTTGATGTAATTCCCATCCTATATCAAATTATGTTTCCATAATTAAGAGAGTCCACTAAAGTGATTTCTCCTGAGCAAAGAAAGTCTGCTCTGTGTTCTGATATACATTTTTAAGCACCTCTTAGTCTGTCACCCGAAAGTGTCAGATGGATTCCACCTACTAATGGCCAGTTATTCTATGAGATGATCTCAAAGATTATAGAATGGATAATAAAGGGAGTAGCAAAAGCCTGTCATACAACAAATACTTGAAGAACTACCAGGTGTCTGTTTAATAAAGGATATCACCCTGAATGGCCATGAGGTGTACGTGAATCACCTTGGAGAGAGGAGCTCCTGTGCAAATGTCCTGTTCAAGCTCTTAGTTCTGAACTGCCTTTTTTGGACCCATTCTTTCTGTTTCTCCTCTACTTTTGACCCTCTGAGCTGGCAAGTTTGATGTCCTTCTTCTGTTCCCTATTCTAGGTCTGGGCTTGATGTTCACCAATTTTCCCTTAGCTCCAACTGTGGCTCCTCTCAGCGGACCCTGATCCTGCTCTCTGCAGGGCTGGTCTGCCCATCACAGGTAAACATCCCTGAGCATAAGTAAACTGTGGGGCCTTTCAACTGGAGCTTCGCTCCTGTGCGTGGAACACCTGGCACTTGAATTAGACATTGGAAAGGCATAAGCTGACATTGTTCTTCCTTCAAATATTTGGAAGATGCAGTTTCCTTATTCTCTATGGCCTCGAAGCAGAGAATGAGGAATATGGGGCACTAAAAGGACAGAGTGTAACTTAAAATAAAAAGGCTCTTGATAGCAGCCAGAGCTACCACAGCTGTCATTTCCTCCTTGCTGAAAGGGCTCCAGCAAAGGCTGGATAACCATCAAGTGGCAATGCTCTGGGAATGTTTGCAAAGAGAGCCATGCATCCTACAGGTCCTTTTACGAGAGGGTTTACAGGTTCCTTCAGCACTGAGCTTCTCAGATTCTAAACTTTTATAATTCTTTGAGTTAAAAAAGAGAAAGATGGGGCTGGGTATGGTGGCTTATGCCTGTAATCCCCAGCCCTTTGGGAGGCCAAGGCGGGTGGATCACATGAGGTCAGGAGTTCAATACCCACCTGGCCAATATGGTGAAACCCCATCTCTATTAAAAATACAAAAATTAGCTGGGCTTGGTGGGGTGCGCCTGTAATCCCAGCCATTCGGGAGGCTGAGACAGGAGAATTGCCTGAACCCAGGAGGCGGAGGTTGCAGTGAGTCGAGATCGCACCACTGCATTCCAGCCTGGGCGACAGAGCAAGACTCCCTCTAAAAAAAAGAAGTCGGATGCTTGACTAGAAGGGGCAAATCAGAGTGAGAATCACTGAGGGGTCATTCACGTGTGGTTGTTGCCAAGAGGGAAATTAAAAACTGAGAAGCAGGAGAGTTAAAATCTAAGTTGGGAGAGGGGAACCTCAGATCCCTTCTGAGGATATGGTTAAACTGTCTGTGTTTTCTGTGCCAAGTAGAGCAGCTTAGACCTAAAGAATGTTAGCAATTTTCGTCCTTCCCACACAGCTACTTTATAATAATTAGGTTTACTACTTTTTTTCACAAGCTATTACTGTAATTATTTTAATTAAGTTGTTCATGCACTCGAGTTGTTTACAAGCACTTTTCTTTTTATAGCACATCAATAAACAGCAGAGGGAAACTACCACCTTGGAGGGAGCCAGGCAGTTTCTGCTGGGCGGGCCAGGCCCAGAGCATGGAAGCAGCTTCTTCCATCCCACACTGGAAACCACCCAGCACCCCCGGCCCTCCTTAGAGAGGAGCCAGACTCCCTTCCCCAGGAAGACACTATAGTCCTATCTGTGTCCTCCGTGGTCATTGCCCCTCAGTCACAGTAAGGAAGAACAAATTACCTGTTTTCTGCATGTTCCTCTGACATAAACCACCACAGAGTAAATATGAAAGGTTCTGGATGATCTGGTGTCAGCTTTTATTAAATTCCACATACTTGGCATTTCATAGCTATCTGGGTTGACTCCTGGTTCCATCCTTTACTAGTTGTGTGACCTTGAAAAAGTGACTTACCTCCTCATATTCTCAGTTTCCCTATCTGTCACGTGAAGGTGAAAGCACCAAACTGGTAGAGTTATTTTGAGAATTCTATGAGTTCTGAGTGGGAGGGCACTAAGCCGTTGCCGGTGAGAGTGGTTTTTCCATCGCGGTCTCCTTCAGTCCCTCTTGGCTTCTCTCCTTCCCCTCCTGCTTCTAGTCTAGGCTTCTAGCAATTTTGACACAATAAAAGTGGGATTCCTTCATTCCTGACTTCAGGGCTTTTTCTTACTTCATTATTGCATGATTGTTCTTAAGCCTGTTCTTTATATAAAACAAAAAAGAGAAAGTGAAATAGAGAAACTGATTTGAAGGAATTGGCACTATTTGATTCCTCCTGTTAGGACATCTGAATACCCCAGGCTCCTGTTCTTGAGGCTGCTGTATCATATTCTTAAAAGCTATGTACACATTCTGCTTTGAGTTTGTCCCTCAGCCTCATTCTTCATCACTTACTTGCTGGGGCCCTCCCGCCCCACGGGAAGGTGAGCTCAGGCTTCGCTAGGGGCTCAGAAGAAAAGACACGACAAAGTCCTGCTTTTATTTTTCTTGTCTAAAATCATGTTTTGCACTATTCTTTGAACAAAAATCAGGACGCCAGAGATGCCCTGTTACTTTTCTTCCAGCAAGTTTCTAATTTGCTGAGGAATAAACTTGTAATGAAAAGAAACCAAAACTCACTAAGGCAGCTCTTCCCTCACAATCATTCCTCAAGGCAGGGGCTCCTTAAAGCAGATCCCAAGAACCCCAGCCTTTCTGTGAAATAGGACTGCTAACTCACCACCTGTTAAATGTGATTTTTAAAAATATGCTTTTGGGCCAGGTGCGGTGGCTCACATTTGTAATCCCAGCACTTTAAGAGGCTGAGGTGGGTGGATCACGAGGTCAGGAGTTTGAGACCAGCCTGATCAACATGGTGAAACCCTGTCTCAACTAAAAATACAAAAAAAAAAAAAAAAAAAAAAAGCCAGGTAAGATGACAGACACCTATAATCCCAGCTGCTCAGGAGACTGAGGCAGGAGAATTGCTTGAACCTGGGAGGCGGAGGTTGCTGTGAGCTGAGACCACGCCATTGCACTCCAGCCTGGGTAATATATTTGTTATATATTTGTTTTATATATATATATATAAATATATATCTAAATAAATAATATATATTTATATATCAATATATTTATATATTTAATATAAATATATAATATGTAATATATTAATATATAGTAAACAATGTTATATATTTGTTAAATATATATAAATATATTTTTTAAAACTACTTGATTAATAGAGACAGAAACTTTCTCTCCAAGATGTTTCCTATGATTAGATCTAGAACAGAGACTATTTGGTCTATGTTTGAATTAAAAAGTTTGCACTTGACCTCATGAGTTATATTGTTCTAATTAAAGTGATAACTGCAGTATCAGTTTTTATATAATTTAGATAACCAAACCGAGACTGCCCACTTAGGTTTTCAAAGGAATCTATTAGCACCATCTTGTGACTATTTTGGTACCACAAGAGCAAAACCTTCAGCCTGCGCTTGTGTGTGTGCAAAAGAAATCTTCTGGCGCCCTCTTGTGGTATATTGCAGAACTGGGTGAAACAACAGCTGCAGGGTAACACCTCTGGTCCCAGGAATTGCTCTTCCAGCTGTCATAGTATTCGTGATTCCTTGAAAAATCACAGTGATTGAAAAATCATTTTAATTAATTTTGCTTGTAAGTTAATAAGTCAAATTACATATATTTGCTTTGTAACTAAATTTCTTATAGTATGCTTTATATTTACACTTTATATTTGTAAATTAATAAAGCAAAGCAAATATATGTAATTTGCTTTATTAACTTTCAAATATAAAGTGTAAATGTAAAGCATAATATATAAGAAATAACAATAAAATCTCATTGTAACCTCAGAAATGGAAATCAAGGAAATCCCTCTGAAAATCTGAATTTTTTTTTTTTGAGACAGAGTCTTACTCTGTTGCCCAAGCTGGAGTGCAGTGGCACAATCTCTGCTCACTGCAACCTCTGCCTCCTGGGTTCAAGCAATTCTCTGCCTCAGCCTCCTGAGTAGCTGGGATTACAGGCATCCACCACCACGCCTGGCTAATTTTTGTATTTTGTATTTTTAGTAGAGATGGGGTTTTACCACCTTGGCCAGGCTGGTCTTGAACTCCTGACCTCGTGATCCACCTGCCTCAGCCTCCCAAAGTACTGATTACAGGTGTAAGCCACTGCACCAGTCCAAAATCTGAAATTTTTAAGAACCACAAAAAGTTAAAGCTGGCCAGCCAAAGAAACTATAAACTCTATTTACACGGTTTCCTCACAGCAGCAGTACTTTGGTTAGTAAATGGTGCCCACCATCTTGGTAACTAACTTTTCTACACACTTGGTGCTGCTCTAAGTTTGTCAAATGTAATTTCACATGTGCGTTCTCACCACAAAGAGGTAAGCCCTCTACCATAATCCTCATTTCCCATAGAGAAAACTGATGCACAGAGAGGGAAATGCTAAGGGCCAATGGCTGGTCAGTGGCAGAGCTGGCGTATGAAGCTGGGCTGAGGCCTGGCCACTACAGGGGACAAGGGAGAACTTTCCCCTTGTTTCTCTGAAGGTTCACTGAAAAATTGACTAGCAAGAAGCAGATTAATTGGAGGAAAGGCATATACATCTATTTAACATGTATACACAGGTACCTTCAGAACGAAGACCCAAAGATACAGGGGAAATTGTTCATTTTTATGCTTAGGTACAATACAGTATGGACAGCTATGTAGAAATGTGATTGGACAAAAAGTCCAATCCAATATTTGAACCGAAGCTAATAGACTGAGAGGGGATGCCTAGCAAGGCCTGCCTGTCTAGATTCTCCTTGGCCTCCTGAGCACCATTCCTTCCTCTGGGTATGGGACAGGACCCTCTCTGCAATGGGGCGGATGATATGACCCATAGTCAAACAAGGTGGTTCAGATAATTTCTGTATGTTTTGGCCAGTTTTTCGTTTTTTTTTTTGTTTTTTTTGAGACAGAGTGTCTCTCTGTCACCCAGGCTGGAGTGCAGTGGCACGATTTCGGCTCACTGCAACCACTGCCTCCCAGATTCAAGTGATTCTCCTGTCTCAGCCTCCCGAGTAGCTGGGACTACAGGCGCATGCCATCATGCCCATTGTTTTTTGTTTTTTTGTGTGTTTTGTTTTTTTTTTTGTATTTTTAGTAAAGACAGGGTTTCACCATGTTAGCCAGGATGGTCTCGATCTCCTGACCTCATGATCCACCCGCCTCAGCCTCCCTGTCAGAAGGGAACAAAGCTCATTGATCTTCTGACCAGATCGTCTCTCCCTCTGAGCTCTTGTAACCCTTCCTGCCTCTTGTCTTTTCAGATCAAGAAGTGATAAATGGGGCTGCTACCTGGAGAGACCATGTAACTGCACTATCTTAGGTAGTTTCATAAAATCACAACTAGATGGTTTCTTTGTAAATAAACTCTCTTTGGTTTATCTTGGGGTATATACTATCATTTTAAATTTTTTGTTGTGTTGACCTTCCTAACTGAATTGTAGACACGCTCCTCTCTACATTAGGGCACCATCCTTTGTTCATCAGTTTTCGTGGGAACATTTCCCTCAGCTTGCTGCTTTCTAGTTTTGTTTTAATATGGCTTTTGTATCGATTTACTTGAGTGAGGTCTGCTCACTCAAGACTCAGGAGTGGAGTCTTGAGTGAGCAGACCTCAGGACTCAAGGTCACTCATATGTGATCTTGAGTTTGAAAACTATGTGGCAACTGCCCCCTCTCTTCTCTTTGGAGTGGAGTGAAATTATGGCCCAAATATCAGCTTCCTCTCCATAAAAGGTTACATTCCTCTCTAAGTATTTGGAAAGATTCTGCTTGTGTTCCAGAGATGCCTAACGAGAGCTGTTCTTCAATTTCATGTGTGTCTTCCTCTGTCCCCTCTGCTGCAGAGCTCTGGTTATCTCATAGCTGCTACCTGCCCAGAGTTCCTAGGCATAATCCTCCCCCGCAGAGGGCGCTTCAACTGGGCACCAGTTGAGCTGAGTCTGGGGAAAACCACACTTTGTTTATTATATGCTCCCTTCATTTTCCATAATACCATCACCCACTTTGAGGGGGTAGGGAGAGGGTGGATTGCCATTGAGTTGAAGGGAATTATAACAAAGGATCGTGAGGGAAGGGGACTAAAACTGATGGTAAATGTGATTTTTCCAGAAGGCACTCAGGAAGTTAAATTATTTCATAGGAAGTTCTTCATGGGTGTACCATGTTCGCTAAGATCACTCTCTATCCTTTGATCTTTCTTCCAAACTTCTTCTAACCACACCTCTCAAAGAAACTCTGCTACTTGTCCACAAGGGTTAGCCTTGTCCCAAAGTTACTTCCCTAACCGCAGCAGCACCTTTTCCTTAGGATGTTGAAGGGCAGAGGAGCTCTTCCTGCACACACTGGTGGAGTGAACAATTGTGTTTGCAAGTCCCCCAGAGCTATGTGGGGAGAAGGTTCAATACTTCAAACCCTACAGAGGAGTCCGGAGTGGACAGCCTTGGTCCAGTCCCCTTTGAAGTATTCTGACCCACATAAGCTATAGACCCCCCCATCTTCATGTTACTATTACTGAGTGTGTTAATATCTTTCCCTAATCTCATGTTTTCAGACTGTGTCCCCTCAGGCCTCACGAAATGAGAAATGGACCCCATCCACATGATCACTGTCTGAACCACCCTGCAGCCACCTCTTGTGAAATGACGGGATGCTGTTTTTAACTAAAGACTACCCTTGCCCTTAGTGTGGGGAAAAATGAGAAAGTGTAGGTTATATATCTTTTGGAAGAGGAGAAGGGGAGCCAAAAGGGAGAGGCGCATTTTACTTTTTCACCCAAAAGGAAAACGGGACCAACAAGTCAGACATCAGAGTGGGACAGGACACTGGGAAGATGCAAGCTCTGTGTCCTTGGAAGGGCATGATTAGAAGAGTATCATAGAAAGGTTGACATAGAAAGGATTCCTGTCTTTTAAGAGAAAACTCAACGTCTTTCTCTTTACCTGGCCTTTAAGTCAGTCTGTACTATTTAAGAATACAAGTATGAAGTTCAAGTTGGATTTAGCTGACTTGTGAGGGAGGGAAAAACGATAAAGATAAGAGGGTTAGGGATCTGGAAGTGAGAAAGACACAAAACAGGCTATACCACAATGGCTTTTTTTGTTTTTTCTTCAGCTGACAGCAGAAGAGGTGATTTATTGTATGGTTGTTACACTTGGCCACAAGTAAACACAGAAATAGTCCAGAATGTCACAGGTCTAGGGCAAAAGAACAACATGGGCAGTTCTGGTTATGAGCAAGGTGGGTCTCAGAGGTGACTGGCGATCAGATGGCGATGAAGTTCTAGGTCCACTGAAACAAGCTCTAGAAAGTAGCATGCAGTCTCACAACTTGTACCAGCATCCCCAGCATCTGGCATTCCATATTTCTGCTCCTGTGGCCTCCACGGTGCAACAAGCTAGTAGTGGTTTACTTGGACCTCTGCCTCATCTTTCTTCTTTTGTGCTTTTGCCTGCGCATTCGCTTCTTCCTCCACTTGGCTCTCATGGTGCAAAGGTTGCTATGGGGAAAGAGAGAAAGGCTACAGTTAGTTTGCTGTGATAATGGTAAGTGCAGAGGTCAGATGTCAATCATGCCACACTGTTGAAGGGAGAAGCTGTCGTTATGGGTGTGTGTGTGTGTGTGTGTGTGTGTGTGTGTGTGTGTGTTGCGTATAAGTTGCCTAAGACAGATGTTAGTAGGTGGGGCTGGGTAAAAAGACTATTGAGAGATGATTAGCTAGAGAGAAGGAAAGGGCCCTGTTGTCAGAGCAAGGGCCAAAGAATAAGCCCCCAAACAAGCTGGGGAAGCCATGGGTGTGTAGAATCTGTGAACACTCTGGGAAGGGAGACTGACTGCCAGTGACCTGGGCACTCAGGCCCAGAGAACAGAGGAAAGTCCAGAGGGGAGTTGCTCCATAAAAGGCTATAAAAATGACCTCACCAAGGAGGACGACATTTATCACAGGGACTGGAAAGAGACAGTGCATTTTGTAGAATCAGCTTTATTAAAGTTTAATTTATATCCAATAAAAGTCACAGGAGGGGAAGAGGGAATGGGGAATTATTACTTAATGGGCACACAGCTTCTGTTTGGGATGATAAAAGACTCATGGAAATAGAGAGTGGTTATACAACATTATAAATGTCATTAATACAACTGAACTACACACTTCATGGCTAAAATGGCAAATTTTATGCTATATGTATTTTACCATGATAAAAAGTCACCAAATAATCAAAACATAGAAAATATTCATTACCCTCAAAAGTTTCCCTGTGCTACTTAGCAGTCAACACTTTCCCCATGCCTGGCAGATACCAATCTACCTTTTGTCATTGTAATTCTGCTTTTTCTAGAATTTCATATACATGTAATCATAAAGTATGTAGTTCTTTCTGTCTGGCCTCTTCCACTGAACATAATTCATCCATTCATGCTGTTGCGTGAATCTGAAGTTTGTTTCTTTTTAATTGTTAAGTGGTATTTCATTGTATGGATGTACCACTGTTTGTTTATCCATTTCCAGAAAATAGACATTTGATTTGGGTTACTAAGTTTTTGTTTTTGTTTTGTTTTTTTTTTTCTGAGATGGAGTCTTGCTCTGTCACCAGGCTGGAGTGCAATGGCACGATCTCAGCTCACTGCAACTTCCACCTACCGGGTTCCAGCTATTCTCCTGCCTCAGCCTCCCGAGTAGCTGGGATTATACGCACCCACCACTACACCCGGCTAATTTTTGTACTTTTGGTAGAGACGGGGTTTCACCATGTTAGTTAAGCTAGTCTTGAACTCCTGACTTTAGGTGATCCACCACCTTGGCCTCCCAAAGTGCTGGGATTACAGGTGTAAACCACTGCACCCAGCCTACTAAGTTTTTTTTAAAAAAAAGCCAGCCTGGATTAAATGCCAGGCTGTCAAGGAGAGAGATCTTACTCTTACACAAGGATGAGGTACAAATGCTGGCTACAGACGGATATGGATAAGGGCCCATAGACCAGCCCTATGTGTTTTCTTATGACAACCTAACATCTTGAACCATGGTCTGCAGAGAACCTCCGGATCTCAGATTTTCCTGTTCACAGTTCTCAGATTTTATTCTGTGAGCCATGCCCATGTGGGGAGCACTGACTGAGAACCTAAGTTGAAAGTCTCCATGAACACTGTGGAGCAGCAAAGACATGACATTCTCCCTTTGTGCCTTGCTTTCTACATAACTTCCATGGCAGTTGCATGGGGATCCAAGATGGGCCAACAGAAGCTTCACATAACATACCATATTACAATATATTTAACATAATATAATTTATTATACACTGTATCATATAATTTAATATAAAATATATAGTCATATCACTTGCCTGCAAACCTGATGCTCTTATTCTTGCATAAGAAAAAAAAATGGGCTGGGTACAATGGCTCACACCTGTAATCCCAACACTTTGGGAGGCTGAGGTGGGCAGATCACAAGGTCAGGAGGTCGAGACAATCCTGGCCAACATGCTGAAACCCCACCTCTACTAAAAATACAAAAATTAGCTGGGTGTGGTGGCACGTGCCTGTAGTACCAGCTACGAAGGAGACTGAGGCAGGAGAATTGCTTGAACCCGGGAGGTGGAGGTTGCAGTGAACTGAGATCGCATCACTGTACTTCAGCCTGGTGACAGAGTGAGACTCCATCTCACAAAGGCAAAAAAAAATCATGGCTGGGAGTAGTGGCTCATGCCTGTAATCCCAGCACTTTGGGAGGCCAAGGTGGACAGATCATGAGGTCAGGAGTTTAAGACCATCCTGGCCAACATGGTGAAATCCCATCTCTACTAGAAATACAAAAATTAGCTGAGGGTGGTGGTGCGTGCCTGTAATCCCATCTACTTGGGAGGCTGAGGCAGGAGAATAGCTTGAATCCAGGAGGTGGAGGTTGCAGTGAGTCGAGATTGCGCCACTGCACTCAAGCCTAGGACAGAGTGAGACTCTGTCTCAAAAAAAAAAAAAAAAAAAGTATATGTTTAGAGTTATCATTTATTCAAAATGAACCTTTTCCTTTTCCTTCCTCCATAAAGGACTCTCTCCCCAGGCTTTGGTGCCTCACCTTGCCTTTAGGAGTCTGGTATCTGGTTTTAGAATTTTGTTGACCCACCTCACTCTTAATCCCACCTCCTAACCTGTGCTGTGAGCTTCATGTTTTAGACTCTGCTTGTTTCCCCTCAGTGACCCTGGATGAGAGGAAGGACAGTTAGCTTCTTGCCTATTCCTGATGCATGGGCCACAGGCCCCAAATGGCAAGCCTGGTCACCTTGCAGATTTTCTCCAGGGTCTTTGGTGACAGGCTGGTGGTATTTAATGAGAGACTTCTCAGCCTCAGGCTTTAGCTGTACCTTCCAGTGGCCCCAGGTGGCCTTGAGCACCCAGTGATGAATGCCCAAGGCCTCTGCCCAGCCATTTCCTGTTGCCCTGCATCCCCCATCCTCTGGCAGCCAGAGGAAACTACCCACCCTGGTCTGGGCTGTTGCTCCTATGAACATTCACTAACAGTGCTTTTAGTTTCCTTTCTCCTACAGATGTGCTCAAATCAAGATATGAAATCCAGCCTAGGAGGAAGGATAGCATAGGATGGGTGACCATGGCAGACATCTGTTGTTTTTCTCTCCCCAATACCAGTCTCACCCCCTTCTACTGTTAATGGCATTCTTTTCTTTGTAACTTTTATTTTAGGTTCAGGAGGCACACGTGCAGGTTTGTTATATAGGTAAGTTGCTTGTGATAGGGGTTTAGTGTACAGATTATTTCATCATCCAAGTAATAAGCATAATACCTAATAGGTAGGTTTTTGATCCTTACCCTCTTCCCATGCCTCACTTTCAAGTAGGCCCTGGTGTCTGTGGTTCACTTCTTTCAGTTGATGTGTACTCATTGTTTAGCTTCCTCTTATAAGTAAGAAAATGTGATATTTAGTTTTCTGTTCCTGCATTAGTTCATTTAGGAATATCCGTGTTGCTGCAAAGGACATGATCCTCATCCAGGGCAACATAGCAAGACCTCATCTCTAAAAAATTAGCCCGGTGCAATGGTGTGCACCTGTAATTCCAGAGGCTTAGTAGGCTGAGGAAGGAGGATTGCTTGAGCCCAGGAGCCCTAGACTACAGTGAGTTATAATCACCTGGGCAATAGGGTGAGACCCTATCTCTGAAAAAGAGGGAAAAAACAGAGAGAGAGAGAGAGAGAGAGAGGTAGCTAATTAACCTGATTCAAATAAGGTGACTGTTTCAAAGGGGAGGGGAGATGTTTTGACCCCCCTACCTTTGAAGTAAATACCTGTCTTACATGCAAAACTGGCTTCCTGTATCTGACCAGAAGACTATAGAGGAGTCCAGATGTTTTTGGACTTCTAACAACAACCACCAACAACAAAAATCTCACCGATAAAGACCTTTACAGTCTTCAGATATTACTCCTATTGAATTTTAGGAGTAATACATGTATAGCTTTACAGTCTTCAGATATTACTCCTAAAATTCAATAGGAGTAATATCTGAAGCCTCCTGCTAAGCATTGATGGAGAAGAAATAATTTTTTTCTGTTGATATACTGAAACTTCCGTCTAAATAGTTTAAAAATAATCAGGTCAAGACTGACTTAAAGGAGGAAGGCATTTCTAATTTAGGTGAGGTTCTAAAACAATCAGTTAAGTATAAACCCATGGATCAAAGTCTGACTTCCCCTAGACCTTGGTGTGGATGTCAGAAAGAGAATAGCTCTGGGGCTCCGCCTGTGCCTGCCATTTGGAGACGCCCCTGAAAGCACACTGCTTTGGGCAGAGAACTCCCTAAGAAAAGAGATGGTCCTTTGCTTCTGCACAAAGGCTAACATGGCCCCTGACGTTGTGTGCTGGTTGCTAAATGTTGAACAAGCCACCTTCCCAAAAGTCCTGGAGGCCTTTGTCACTAAGGAAAGTGTTTTTTTGTTTGTTTGTTTTTTTCCCTTTGAGACTGAGTTTCGCTCTCTTGCCGGGGCGGCAGTGCCACGGCGCGATCTTGGCCACAAACTCCGCCTTCCAGGTTCAAGCGATTCTCCTGCCTCAGCCTCCAAAGTAGCTGGGATTACAGGCACGCGCCACCATCGCAGGCTAATTTTTGTACTTTTTTTTAGTAGACACAGGCATTCACCATATTGACCAGGCTGATTTCAAACTCCTGACCTCAGGTGATCCACCGGCCTCTGCCTCCCGAAGTGCTGGGATTACAGCCCTGAGCCACCGCGCCCGGCGGGAAAGTGGCTATTTTAAGAAGCAGGTTAAGAACATGTTTCGCTGGGTCTCATTATTCTGCGGGACGAGGCTGACAGAGGAGAACCCCACCCTCACTCCGAAGGCCTTTGAAAGCATCTCTGGGAAGGGCAGGGTTGGCTTCACCCGCTGCCCAACGTCTCTCCAGACTGCAGGTGCCAACTTCCGGTCCCTCACCTCATCGGAGTTCGGGTAAAACGCGGAGCTCCAGTTTCTCAGCCCCATCTGGAGCTCCACGATGTCCGCCACGCCGCCCCCGTTGTGGTCCAGGTCTTCGAAGAGGATCCCGTAGCGTAAGTAGTCATAGTCATCCTGGCAGGCCACCGCCTCCAGCACGAAGCCCTGCAGCCAGCGCAGCATGGCCGGGTCGGGAGGCTGCGGGGCCACTCGGCCCGCTCGCCCACACCGCGGCACTCGCCGTCGCCTGCTCCACGCCCGGCTGCGCAAGGCAGGAGGTCCTGGCAGTCCGTCGCTTCCGCAACTGCCTGGCGGAGCCTCAGCGGTTCGGAGCCCAAGCGCGCCAAGCCACCCGCGCCTGCGGAGAGGACCCTCGGCGGAATCTTGGGGAGCCACCTTGTGGGATCCCTGGCCGGGACGCCACGCGACAGTTGAGGCGGCAGATGTGAGTTGAGGTGCCGGATGTGGTGGCGTTGGGTTCCCAGGACCGCTGGTGCGGCGTTCGACGCGGGAGCCGAGGGACGTTTGGGAAAAGGGAGCGCATTCCCCAGGTGGCGTCCAAAGGGCACTCGCGGGTTTAAGATTTTCCTAGTACAGACTCAGTGCCTGCCGGAAGTCACTGCGGCGGGAGATGAGGCATGGAGTGAGTTGTGCAGACCCGCTCTCCTGATGCCAGCATACAGTACCCTGGTGCCACCCTTACTCCCAGGAGGACCTGCACCTGCGGGTCGGGACCCTGGCGACCCCGAAAAAGAGGTCTGAAGAGGGGAGGCCTCCTGAGGAGCCTCTGCCCTGTCCCTGTCCCTGTCTTCCCTCCTTGCCAGCCGAGCCCATACTGGGATTAGACTTTTCATGTTCTTATATAACCTTTTTCCAGTCAGTTGAGTTGTATGCAGAAATACTTCTATCTCTAGTAATAAACGAAAAATAAAAATGAATAATAAATAAGATACATACAGATTAAAATTAGAACATTTCTCCAAATTCAGAAATATGAAACACACATCATAACAGTTCCAATTTATATGCCACATTTCTATTCATAAATTTTGTTCTAAAATATAGAGAAAAATACCAAAATACTTTAAAGTAGATCTGAAGCATTCAGAATATTTTTCCGGTATGTATTTATTTTAAATCAGTCTCTGATGTGTACTATCTATAGGGCTATTGAAGGATCCAGTTGCTACTTATTTTTCCTCTATATTTTAGGAGTTCATATAAACAAACTTAATTTCTAATTGCTTTTTAATTATGAGGAATGGTAACACAACTAATTTCTCAATATGTACTTTATATTAGTCACATTTATGTGAACTTTAGGAGTTGATTATAAGTTTAAAATTCTTCTATTAATCCTATTAAGAAAAAAAAAGAAAAAAATGGAGAATCTGACTGAAAAATGACTTTGGTTACTCAAATTTATGTTAATTGTGCATTTATATTCATTTCAATTTTTAGAAAATTTAACAACTTAGTTCCATCATTAATTGTTTATTAAGTAGCCTATCCCAAACTGAGAAAATTAAATTTCTCTAATTTCACAGCAAATTCAATCATGGCATTTAACAAGAGGAAAATAGATTATATCAAAATTTTTTTGAGTTTTAACATTGTGAGAGCAGATTTTAACTACATTTTAATAACTTTGAGAAGTATGATACAATCCCAAATATTAAAGTAACTCAAAATCTGGAATCTATAAAATGGCAGAAATATATGTGTCCTGAAAAACTGGAAAAATGAACTCATCTAATGCAGTAACTAGTTACTTGATATATTATAATTTATAGTTATATCCATTAAATCTCAATTTTAGAACCTATCTAATCTTTATAATGTAGCTCTACATAGTCATCTTAAAATGTCTTTGACCTATTCTCTCTCAACATAAGCTGAAAAGATAGACGCAAAAAAAAGCCAGGATGGATAAAAATACTATTCATCCTTCATATAAGTTTAAGACTGCAAAGGGAAGTTCCAGTCAGCCTTTCTTTATTCCAGTAGATCAGAGTTTGAAAGTAAATTATAAAGTACATAGATAAAGAAACACTGAGTCTTTTTTGCCTTTTTAAACACAGCTTTAAGTATAAGAGCTTACACATTTTTCTGAATTACTTTAGTCACATTGGTGATTTTCTTGTAATATTTGAAAAAAAAAAGCTAAAAATGTCTGTATCTTTAAATAAGAATGCTCAGAAAAGGAATAAGAGGTCACCATTATTCCATTCACAACAGCGGTAGGAGACTGAGGTATTCTGATGCTATGAAATTCTGTTTAGGACTTTCTATTTTGTTTTGTTTATTTTAGAGAAAGAAAAGGAGCCCAAACTTAACTGTTTTGCTATGAATCTTAATTTTAAAAGCATGAGTTTTCTATCAGTGCTTTCAAACAGATTTAAAATATGCACATGTGGCAAGGAGAGGTCAAAAATAAAAATAAATTTTAAATGCACATAAACCACTAAAATGTTAGTTTTTAAAATACAAAGTAGAAAATTCAGAAAAGCTTCAAAATATTCCAACTCTTTAATATGAAATTATGCTAGGTTAATTATATAATTAGGTTATATTCTGTATTATAAATTATGTTTTAATCCACTTAAATGCAAATTTCTATGACCGTTCATTAAAATTTGGAGAAATATAGATTTATGAATATTAAAGATTTTAAATCACCAAGAAATCAATAAACTATATTTCTGGCAGTCTGGCCATGATCTGCAACAGCCATTTTGCTGCGCTGTGGGGAATTTCACCCAGTCCAAACCTCCTAGTCTCCTTAGCACTGTCAAGGAAAAACCTCCAACTAAAGCCTCGCTAGTGGCGGTTGCCCCTCCCCCTGGGAACTCAGTTGTCTTAGGCGGACTCCAGACTGCTGTGCTGGCAGCTGGGATTTCAAGCCAGCGGGTCTTAGCTTGCAGGGCTCCGTGAGAGTGAGACCCTCTGAGCGACGCCGCTTGGCTCCCTGGCTACAGTTCCCTTTCCACAGGAATGGACGTTTCTCCTGCCTCCCCGGAGTTCCAGGTGCTGCTGGAGTAGGTAAAAACTGCAGCTCAGCGCCTGCCCAAACGGCCTCGGACAGGTGCGCCTGCCGTTGTTCTGCCCAGTTTTGTGTTTGAGACCCAGGGCTCACGAGGGGAATCTCCTGATCTGAGGGTTGCAAAAATCCGTGGGAAAAGCTTAGTACCCTTGGTGGGTAGAACTGTCCCTCCCCACTTCCCTTGGCTGAGGAGGGAGGTCCCCCTGCTTGTGCAGCTCCAGGGTGAAGCAATAATCTGCTGCTTCTCGCTCTCTGTGGGTCATGCCAACCATCTAGTCAGTCCCAGGGAGATGAATTGGGTACCTCAGCTGGAAATGCAGAAATCACCCACCTTCCTCGTTCTTCTTGCTGGCAGCCACAGACCACAGCTCCTTCTAGTCTGCCATCTTGACCCCTCCCCACCGAGGTAAGTTGAATAAGTCTTCTAAATTTGTCCTTGCTATAATGATCAGTGATAATCTGTCTTTTTTGTTCTTCTTCTTCTTTTTCTTCTTCTTACTATTATACTTTAAGTTCTGGGTACACGTGCAGAATGTGCAAGTTTGTTACATAGGTATGCCGAGACCTGCTCAGTCGTAGAGACCCCAACCCAGGCGGTGCTGAAAGAATTAAGAAACAGAAACAAAGATAGAGTGCAAATGTGGGACTGTCAGGGGTCTGACAGCATTTCCCAGCTGACAGCCCAGAGCAGACTCTGACCCACGTATTTATTCTTTGTGAACAAGTGATTATTTTTAATAAGTGGGTGCTCAATGTTTCTTCATAGAATAAAGATACTCTAAACAGGCAGATAGTGCCTGTTCACTACTAAGATAGAAATAATCTAGGCCGGGCATGGTGGCTTATGCCTGTAATCCCAGCACTTTGGGAGGCCAAGACGGGCGGATCACGAGGTCAAGAGATTGAGACCATCCTGGCCAACATGGTGAAACCCCGTCTCTATTAAAAATATAAAAATTAGCCGGGTGTGGTGGCACATGACTGTAGTCCCAGCTACTCGGGAGGCTAAGCCAGGAGAATCGCTTGAACCTGGGGGGGCAGAGGCTGCGGTGAGCCGAGATCGTGCCAATGCACTCCAGCCTGATGACAGAGCAAGACTCCATCTCAAAAAAAAGAAAAAAGAAAAAAGAAAAAATCTAGAAAGCACTCTTTTTGGAATCAGCAATGGGGACAAGGTCAAATATGTTGTGTTGGGAACTGGTTTAACTAGTACATGACCGGTACATACTGCTTACTTACTCTAGCAGTTTTTTTTCCTGGGGATGGCTCAGTGTTCCTTGACATTGCCTCTCAACAAACAATATATATTCCATCACACACATGTCAAGACCTTCTCCCAACATAGGTATACATGTGCCATGATGATTTGCTGCATCTATCACCCCGTCATCTACATTAGGTATTTCTCCTAATGCTATCCTCCCACCCCCTGCTTTCCCTCCCCTAGCCCCCTCCAACAGGCCCCAGTGTGTGATGTTTCTCACCCTGTGTCCATGTGTTCTCATTGTTCAACACCCACTTATGAGTGAGAACATGTGATATTTGAATACTTTACAGACTTTAAGACTCTAATCCACATAAAAAATAAAATTATGTATTGACCATATTACTAGGAATTTAGAATTTTGTGTTTTATCCTCTAATAATAGATCAAATAACTAAGGTAGAAAGGAGTAAAGCAACTTCCATATATGTAGTGAGGATGTTGGGGGATCTGGGACTAAAATTCTGCCTTGGGATTCCCAAGAAGTTGGTGATTATGATTTTTGTAGTCTTAGAAACAAAAGAAAATTACATTCTGGTTTTTTTTTCCTCTGCTTACCCTATATAATTCTCTAAACTACAAAATCTCTACTTATCAAGATAACTTGGATTGCCAATTTGTTGAGCTCAGCAAATGCATTTCGTGAGCCCTTGTGAGTAAAGCACTGTGCAGATTACACTGAATAACTAGTGATACAGAGCAATGTAAATTCTACAAAAACACCTACAACAGCTTATCAGAAGGAAGCATGCTGAGTACTGCAGTAACCTGCTAGGAAGCATTTAAGTAGATTCCCGGGATCTGTTAGTAAAAAGAATGTGTTTAACAGTTTGCTGAGACTCAGGACAGAAGGGACTGTGATGATGACCTGGTATATCAGGGAGATTTGCTCCATGGCTCAGGAAAGCAGTTCTAGTGACATCTCACAACGCTCACCCTGAAGCCTCCTGGAAAGTTTCTCTCACAATAACCTGTTATCACACCAAATATATGTATGCCGCTATGTAGATTTGGACACATGATTGTGCAATTATGAATGGGGATCAAGTTCATGTGGCTGGTCTTAATTTATTTGCAGAAAAACAAAACAATCTAGAAGAGGTGAAAGGACAAGAAACAGCTGCTCCCAGGTAATTGAGAAAAATCAAGGGCGTGTAAATTAGTTCAACCATTTTGGAAGACAGTGAGGCAATTCCTCAAGGACCTAGAAATAGAAATTCCATTTGACCCAGCAATCCCATTACTGGGTATATATCCAAAGGATTATAAATCGTTCCACTATAAGGACACATGCACATGAATGTTCATTCCAGCACTGTTTACAATAGCAAAGTCCTGGAACCAACCCAAATGCCCATCAATTATAGACTGGACAGGGAAAATGTAGCACATATACACCATGGAATATTATGCAGCCATCAAAAACGATGAGTTCGTGTCCTTTGTAGGGACATGGATGAACCTGGAAACCATCCTTCTCAGCAAACTGACACAAGAGCAGAAAATCAAACACTGCATGTTCTCACTCATAGGCAGGTATTGAACAA